TTTCCCTCCCCCCGCACCCCCGCCCCTTCCCTTCCACAGATTTGCCTGCAGGGTGCTGCTCTCTTCACTGCCTGGCTGCATTCCTGGCCGCGTGCATGTGTTCAGCTGTGCATGTGCACAAGGCATCCAGGGGCCCCAACCAGAAAGCGTGTTATATTTATTGACACATTATTGGCTACACCGGCCAAAAAAAAGCCAATAGCCAGTAATGTTAATTTTCCTTTTATCGGTGCCGATCCAATATAGCACTGATATATCGGTACACCTCTGGTCACTACCAGATTCCACTGGGGCAGCTGCCTTTCCTGTTGCCCTTGATTCTGTTAGCTTGGGTATAAAGCAGGGCTCTTGCTTGGCATTAGCTTCTACAGACAGAAACCTACCATTGAAAACTTGTGCTCATTGGTTCTTGTCAGTAGAGGAGTAGTGCATTGTTGGAGACCACTGGTTACAATGTAGTTCAGTGATCCTTTTTCTGTTCCTAGTAGCTGGGATATCTGTCCACAGTGAAGTTCATAAGCAGCGGTAGCACCCTAGCTAGCACACTGCTCAAATGGGTTCTGCTGTGTGTGAGCTGTTTAATCACTGGTGCATTCAGCACTGCAGTCACAGCAGCACCCCTAGTTCATTGTACAAAAAATGCTTTTGGATGCCTCGTGGTTGAAATAGCCCTCAGAGACGAGCTATTGTTATCTGCCTAGGAGGAGGGATGCAGAACTTCTTGGATTTATTTGCCTCTGAAGCCATTCAGGACCAGAAGGTGATGGTTTCCTAGCCTCTGTAGATGGTGTGGTCTACATATGCTCGGCACCCAAGCCAACACCTGTTTTCTTGAAGGGCAAGCATCTCTTACCTTTAAATGACCTGTGTGGAGGGCCTGTTAAACCCTGCCCCTAGCACAGGGGGGCTACCATTCCCATTTTCCTTTCAATGTAAATGCCACACTTTAGAGTCTCATCCTGTCAGAGACAAGCGTGTCCCATATGCAATTGAGGATTCTCTGGCATTCGAAGGATTGAGTCCTTAATTCCATATCATTTACAATGGAAATGGACTGAGATTATGCCAGGGAGGACTTGGAGCCCTTTTCTCTCCTAGCAAGAGTGTGTGCAGGCAAGAAGAGTCCCTTGTGATCCTCTTGAGGCTGTATGCTGTGAAACAAAGCCTTTGTTCTGCAGTAGAGACAGTCATCCCACAGTAATTAGTTTGTCACCCCTTCCTATTAGCTCTTAGTGTTTTTTCTACTTCTTCAGATGATTATCAATAACTTTATTTCTTACAGGTCCAAGTTCACAGGCTGTCCAGCAAGCCTCCAAGTAGGTATTTGTTCTTTGTGTGTGTTTATATATTAAAAAAGAAACATTTAAACCATGAAGTTGGGGAGACTACACTAATTCCTGATGGGACATGGAGGCTGAGTGGCACTGGGATCAGTTGTGCAGGACAGTAGGTTCCCATCTACTTCATGTAGTGTAGCCCTGTGTGCAGGAGAAGAGTGAGCCATCAAAGATCTTAAAGTACATTAGCAATATAAAAGCAACTCATGACAAAATCATTCAATCCTTTTCCTTTTCTCAATGTGGTCTTAAAAAATCCCAGCTAAAATAGGCAAGTTTTAAAGGAACCTAATGGAGTTAGGCCAATTCCTATAGGTTCCTTTGAAAATCCTGACCAAAACAAATAATTGGATACTGCTTGGTCATTAGCTGCATTGCAGCTTCTGAAGATACACTAAGAAGATATTAACCATCATGGCAGATTCAATTTTTAACTTACTTAGAATCATAGACTCGAAGACTGGATGGGATCTGTAAGATAATCAAGTCCAGTCCCCTGCCATGGGTAGGAAGTTACTGGGCTCAACCGAGCTCAACAAGGAGCTTGTCCAGCCTCATCTTGAACACCTCCAAGGTTGGCAACTGCACCACTTGTGCTGGATGGATGGTTATAGTGTGAATGGAGGGGGCTGGGTGGAGGGAGCCCCATGCCCCACACTGACCCTGGCACAGGAAGAAGGTCTTGTTGCTGAGCTCCATGGCGCCATCACCCAGGATGATCTCCAGGGCCCTGGGGCTGCTGCACACCCACCCTGGTGGGTGATGCGCAGCCCCAGCTCTGTCAGAAGCCATCTGAACATTACGGCTATCACTACCTCTTGCTGTTGACCCAGAAGCATTGAGCAGAACAGGAAAGGAGTGAAGCAGATATGGTTTGCCATCCTTGCTGTGCAGGTTACCATGACCTTTTTACCTGAACAAGGTTGCCCAAGGGCAACTGGAGAGTGAAAGCATAGCCCAGTCCTACCTTGGGAAAGGTGCAATAACCAGTGAAACCCATTTTTATCATCAAAGCATCATTGTCAGCATCATTTGAAACGCAAAGCAGAGCTTCCACTGATAACTAGGTGCAGAACCCCCTTCCTAGTAATGTCTTTGAGGGTAACTAGCATGCTTGTCTTCTTCATCAGTGTAATGACATTCTTCTTCCAGGCACTGCTGCTAGAGGAATGCAGCAGGTAGTGCTCCACCTCTGTTGGAGCTGGATCTGATGGGACTCTTTACCAGTTCTCTTTCAGGGCACTGGACGTGAGCCCCATGGAAGGAGATGGAGCCTCTGCTACTAGACAGAGGTTGACATTCTGTGGGGTCTCCATGGCTTCAGGTCTTGCAGGTGTTACTGTTGCAAAATCCATGCATTGAATTAACTGCTTAAGGAGTTATTGATCACTGGCTGCTAACTTAATGGACCATGTACTGTCTTCCCCTCCTAGGTGAACCTGACGTGGAGACTTTGAAAGCGGAAAGAAATACAGTAGCATCAGATTCTGTGAAGAAAAAGGAAGTGCCTGGAACTGTGTCGAATAAAACCCCTGAGCTGTCCACCCACATACTCAAGGGAAAGCGCAAGAAAGGAAAGTTTCTGATTGCCTCCAAGCAGGGGTCTTCCTCCGAGGGTGAGGCTGCTGCCGTGGAACCTGAGAAGAACCAGCCACTTGATGAGAAGCCTCAGGAAAGCTGCTCCTTGGTCAAAGATGAGAGTGTGTGCCCCCAAGAAGGTGCGGGCTCTCCAGATTTAACACCCAAAAGACTTTCATTGCTTTCAGGTGCCAAGAAGTCAGTCTTCCAGAGCCACAAGCCAGGCAGGACCCTTCAGCTTAAGCTAACCAGTAAAGCTGCCAGGAAGACCAGGAGTACTTCAAGGGTTCTCCATCTCCGGAATTCAGTGGTCCAGATCAAATTCCAGCGGGTCCTTCAGCAATCACAGAGGAATCCTCTCCGCCACCCTAGGCAGGCTCCAAGGAGAGACTGCTCCCTGCTGAGCAAGACTCTTGGGCCTCGCAGACATGAGGCAAAGATGCCTACCTCACCACCCAGGTACCCAGAATTGGTGGGCAAGCGAATTCGGCACCTGTATGAAGAGAAAGACAAGACGGAGGCCTGGTACCAGGGAGTAGTTCTGAGGGTTCACAAGCAACACAAGGACCCTCTGAAGACTGTGTATGAGGTGAAGTATGACAGCGAACCAGAGTGGCAATACTACCTGGAGATCCTGCAGGACTACAAGAAAGGCTGGCTGAAAGTGGATGAGTGAAGTGGACCTGGGATGGCACTGACAACTTGCAGCATGAGCAACTACAATTTGGGAAGGATAAAGAGCTCCAGGGCTGCTGTTTGTCTTCCCCACCATAAGTCCCACCTCCTTCATGGGTCTTATCATACTTGGCATCACTAGAGCATGCTGGAAGAGAGAAATGCCATGTAACCAAATGACTTCATTCCTTCCTCCTCAGATTACCCTTGTGCCTTTTCTCTCCCAAATGGACACCAAAGCACCACAGTGCCTTGTGACTGTAGTAGAAAATAGGGAGGAAAAAGGACCCACAGGAGGTCCATGTGTGTGGTTTTGTGGGAGGAGGTGGTCTTTCTGTTCTTTGGATCTGTTCAAAACAATTACTTCTGTCTGGCTGAGCCTTCCTCATGACCTACCATCATTCCTTATCACCACAGACATCCCTTCCTGGAGAGAGTAACCTCCTAGAAGCTGGGCTCACAAGTTGAGGCCACCTTCAGTATTCAAATGGACATGTCATTTAGAGGCAGAACTCCCAACAGCCTGTGTATAGAGCACCTCACCAAGCATGCACAGCTCAGGAACACAGCAGGGGAAATTCTAGCACGCTGTCCTTCTATTAAACACCTTTCAGCTTCTCCTTCTCATCCATGGGCTTCTGTGGGAGCACCTCGCCTGTCTCTTTGCATAATCTTTTTCTCTCTCTCTCCCTTCTCATTTTCAAATGGAAAGCATTTCAGCTCCATCTGGCTGATATTGTGGCATCTCCTATAAAGAATGCATCCTAAGAGCCAAACTCTTCTGGTGTGTATCTTGAACTAATTGTAGAGGCAAAATCCTGGAAGCTAAATTAATAATAGATGCACAGGGCTGGATTCCATTCCCGTGAGGTCAATGAGAGTGTTGTCATGGGTTCACTGGGGCAGGATCTGATGCTTAATTCTAATGTGGTTATTTCCTATACCCTCTTCACCCCATTGGAGTGGAGTTGCGGTTTATTTTTATATGTTGTTTTCGTGTAGCTGTTTAATGTGCTGTGAGACCCTACCCTAAAACATGAACATTTCTGATGGAACTGCCCTGCGGGAAACACAACTCACGGAACCTCAGTATGGTCCTCAGAGCTGTTCTGGCATGGCCATGCTTGTAAGAAGTCCTCAGATTGCATAACCCTGATTTGCTGAGCATTGTAGCTGGTCCATTTTTCACTGCTAAGCTTTCAAAGCTTTTCCTCTTTCAGCTGATACTGACCAGTCTATGTCCAATCAGCTTTGTAGAAACAGCTCTATTTTTATTGGAGCTGGAGATTTTGGGTTCAGTGTTGTGGGTTCTGTTTCCTTCCCCTAAACATCTCCCATCTTCCCACTACTCATCTTTCCTTCTGAGTGTATGCTGTGGTCAGTGACTATAGCTTGATGTTTTAACCCTCCTGGTTTTTCTATCTTGAAGGGCTACAGATACTGAACACAATGTTGATGGCACTATGATTTCCATAGTTATTGGACTGATTTTTTTGTTGTTTAAAGCAAAGACATTTTAAAAATGTTATAACTTTTACCTTTATAAGGAGCTGCTTTCAGGTGTTTTTTAACATGTATAATTTATACTGTTTTATTATTATTATTATTTAAACTTCTGGCATCACCTGTTTTACTTTGCTGAGTCAAGGTGGAGTGAGATATGGAATATGTCTATGTGGCACAATGCAGTGCCATGCTAGGATACCAGAACTAGCTCTAAGCAAGTCAGCTCAACTACCAGATGCAGTCTAGCACTTGACTGAGGCTATTTAGAAGCAGGATGGATTGCCTTGCAGGGGGAGCATTGAGCTAACCTGTCTAACCTGTTTCTGGTGCCTGAGCTAGCTTGAGTCTTTTTGACTAGCACTAGATATATTTACAGGGTCACCGGTTAGGAGCTCCATTCTTGAATTGTCTGTAAGACACTTCAAGGGGTATTTTAAAGATTGATTTTTCTTTTTTAAATCAGATTACAATGCAGATCCTGGATGCCTGCTCCCCAGTGTCTTTAAGGAGAGCTTATGACATGCTTATGCTGGTGACGATCCTTTATACTTGACAAAGAAATGGTGGCTATCAAGAGTAGTGATTTACTTACATGAAAATGGAAGTAGGGATGAGGAGACAGACCTCAGATACATCCTCAGAACAGCAATCATTTCAATTCCAAGAACACTGTCATGATTCCACACACAACAGTGAAAAGCTGAAATGAATGCCTAAGAACTTACAACAATCATGCCCTACCAGTTGTCCAGCTGACTGTCACCTATCTGATGGAGAAGGATGAATACAAGCAGAATGCCTTGGAATATTTAATACGCACAGGTATTTCCAGCTATCAGGGTGGAGAGGAACTGGTAAAGATAGAGGATGTTTTCACTACAGGAAGTATTTATTTTAAAGAAAAAAAACCTAAAACCAATGGACTGTGTTTTCCAACTGGAGGCAGTCACTGCTGCTGCATTTAGTACAGGTTTATTGGTGAAAGTGTATGTACTGAACCTGCAGGTGACTAGGAAGGAGGGGGACTTGGTGCAGTTCTCCTTGCACTCTCTTGCCATGTGGAATCTGTGAGTAGATTGTAAAGTGATTCAGAACCAGTGTTTGTTAATAATATTGTAATTTTTTTTGTACAAAGTCCTAAAGGAAGAAGTCCTTTATTTAATATTTTGTAAGACTGCAACTTGAAGAGGCACCTTGCCCTCATTAAAGTGTTTGTATTAAAGGGTTTGTATTTTGCATTCTCCATTTCACTGTTTCATTATGGATTTTTTCCCCCAACCTATTGCTGGTGCTATTGTGTAAGGCATTGGATGTGCACATGGGAAAAAAGGATTCTTTCCCCAAAGATCTTAGTGTGAACAGGCAAGGCACACACAGGGCCACAGCAGGAAGGAGAAGCAGAAGCACCCAGGTGGAATGATTTGCCTGGTGTCTGCCTCTGACTGAGCTGGGACTAGTTCCAAAGACTCAGGAGGGTCTATATTGGTGCCCATAAGTTAGAGCATGGTGCATAGGCCAAATCCTGCTTGTTTCCATGGGGCTGCTCCTGTGATTAATTAAATGAGCAGGATTTGACTTTGTCTACTGCACTTGCATATATCTCTATGCGCATGCAAGCAGCAGGGCTACCCCAGAGTTATACCATTTTTTTCTACTGAACTGAGAATGGTGCTGCAACTGTTGTGTGCAAAGGAAGCAAGAGAAGGCCTGTGCTCTCATGTTCTCCCTTTAGCACTGGATTGGGTTTTACATATACGTGTCCCACTCCTTTGAAAAACAAAACTGGTGAGAAGAATCAGCCTGGGTTTTGTCCTGATGTTCATCTTGTTTGGCAGCTGTTGCCACTGACCCATATGTCCTTAGGAAAGAGCTGAAAAAAGGAAAATGCACCACTAGACTCCATGTTCAGCCACCAGCTCCAGTAGTGCAGGATGGATATTAAGAGTGCTGCCAGAAGCCAGGAGAAAATTCTGTCAGCAGAGGAACTGCACAGGGCAAGTGCACATGGCCATAGTGTACCCGTCTCGCAGCCGCCAAAGCAGGGATTGCTGAAAGAAGGGACAGGAGGGCAATCTGTAGGTAACCTGTGTGAAGTGCCACCTCTACCCTTCTCCCTGCGCAGTTTTCTGCTGTACCTCCCAGAACATGCTGCACAGAATCTGTGCCCAGACCTGTCTCGTAACTGAATAATGGCTTGGTTCTCTCCTGCATTCCCTCCCTTGGAGTATTCACTAGAGGAGTTGATCTAACTCCCCAACTGTTTGTTTTCATGTCAGGTGAGTATGTGCATTTGCACCTTCTCTCTTCTTCCACCCCCGCCCTACACCCCACCAACCACGGGCGCTGTATCAGTCCACACTGATCTGTATAAACCAACATTTCTCCACAAGTGCTAAAAAGCAGTAGCCCTGTGTTCTCTGATCTCCAAGCTGCTGGAAGAAGCCAAGGTAAGAGATGCACTGACAGGACTGCTAAAGCAAGCCTCTGCAGTGAGGACTGGAGCAGAGAGGATCAGGTTTGCCCAGCTAAAACAGAGCTATGGCACCTGAAATGGTGGCTTATTTTCACCCTCAGCTTGAAGAAGAGACACCATCATAAGTATGTTTCAGTTTTCAGCCATCATTGTAACATGGATGATGAAGCAGAGTGTACCAATTTGTCCTACCTCTGTATTTGCTACAGACTTACTGTTTTTTGTTCCACAACTCTCAAGGGTCTCTACACTAGCAGCTTGATGTGGGGACACATGCAAAATCTGCTTTGTTCTCCTGCTTCATTGTATCCATTAAGTAAATGAGGCTGTTTCCCCAAGTCCTGCTGGTATCAACAGTGATCGCTCAGTCTTTCACCTTCACAAGGCAGGTAAACTAAACATAGACATTGGATTTTTGATACATTATAATCTGCCTGGCAACTGACTCCCCAGCCCAGCCCAGCCCCTGGCTTCTTTACTTTTCATTCCATCCAGGAAGAGCACACACCCACTGCTGAAGCTTCCTTAGCCTGACGAAGGGTTTTTGAACCCGAAAGCTTGCTTAATAACTATTCTCCAACCATTTGGGTTGGTCTAATAAAAGATATCAAATTCACCCAAGGAACCTTGTCTGCCTATCTCCTGTGATCATGCATCTGTAAGCCAAATAGATACAATGGCTGTTGAAGTTAGAGACGCTTGTAAGGAAATTATGAGTACATGCAGAGTGTGCTTCTCTGACTTCTTGCATATCTTTAGCAGTCATGGAAGCTCCCTCCCATGCAGTCTGTTTTCCTTTGTAGTACAAAGAAGACTGGTTTAAATGAGGTGATACTGAAATGGGAAAGAGGATGAAACACTTCCAGACGGCCTGCCACAGTCTGATGGAAACATGCCTTGACTAGGAGCATGGATGGAAGCTGTAATAAAACTATGTGGTAAATCATTAAGTTCATCTTGGAGCATCCCTGTTCCTGACTGGCCACAACCTGAAATAAATACTTCTAGTTAAGAGTAAGCTTTTCCCCCTGTGCATTGTTGCCAGGCAAGGTATTTTAAATCCATGCTAGACATAAAAGGATGGCGTGTCTCTGTGGCATTCACGCTGCTTGCAAAGTTTCCATTCTTGATCCAGAATCACGGCAGTGCCACCAGGGACCACTACCTCACACAAAGGAATAAGGCCTCTTTCTTTGGGTTAGCGTGCATGCCCATGTATTCTAGACACCATCTGTCTGCATGCTGTAGGAGTATAGTCCCAGACTGTAATGTGTCTCCATATCCCACAAGCAGAATTTTGCTAACATTTTATCTTCACTTAGTGTTAACATGCCCACAAAACAGCTAGCAAAGCGGCTGATGCAGGATGTTTGACTCCACTTCTCCTTCCACTGGCCAGTCCACTCCAGTTTAATTTATCCCACCCACTACATCCTTCAACAGGCCCAAGAGCTTTAAAGCCTCAGCCACATACCTTGAGCTAAATATTTCAACCAAGATTTCTTTACAAGTGGAGGGGTCAAGATCCAGAGGAAGGTGGTAAAACTGCTCCAGCCATGACTCCAGAATATTAATGGTATCCCTGAGCAATAGATCTTCTTCATCTGACCTTCCTTTGGCTCTGATGGTTTTAAAGCCATCCAGGTGGGAATAGCCTCCGTGCACTCATAGAGGTGAGGCTCCCCTCCAATGTTCCCTGTAAGGAGTAGCGGTCCATGAGCACACCACTTTGGTCCCACCTCCCCCTTTCGGCGTGGTGTGGTCTGCCAGTAAGTATTCCAAAGTAAGTGCCCAGGTGGGAGCGGGCAGGGTTCGGCCACCACCCATCTCCCTGCTAACTGCTGCCCAGAGCAGCGCAGTGGAGTGCTGTGGCCCAGCCATGGGCTGGACACAATCAATCAATAGAACTGAAAGGGAGGCACGGGGCCGGTGTGGGACACTTACCTAAGGTAAGCTCCTCACTCCTCATGCATGGCAGGCAGCGGCTCCTCCCTGAGGTGAGGTGGGGACGGGGGCTGGGGCTAACGTGGACTCTGCCGGGTCTGGGGAACTGCTCCGCTCCCCTGCATCACCTCGGGGAGCGAGGAGGCACATGGTGTCAGGGCTGGGGACAGTTCCCTGGAGCTGACGGAGCCCACAGAGCAATTTCCCGGAGCTGGTAGAGCCTCACACAGGGCAGGCAGCGGCTCCTCCCTGAGGTGAGGCAAGGCAAGGCAGGGATGGGGCTGGCGCACTCTGCTGACTTTGGGGAACTGCTCCACTCCCCAGCCCTGATGCCATGTGTCTCCTTGCTCCCCAAGGTGATGCGGGGGAGCGGAGCAGTTTCCCAGAGCCGGCAGAGCCCACCCCAGCCCTGTCCCCGCCTCGCCTCGCCTCGCCTCGCCTCAGGGAGGAGCCGCTGCCTGCCCTGCATGAGTGAGGAGCTTACCTTCGGTAAGTGTCCCACGCTGGCCCCGGGGCCTTCGCCACACTCCACGCCCAGCTCCTCTCCGGGTGGGTGCGCAGCCTGAAAGAGTTCATGCGCGGCAAGATTTTTACTTGTGCACGGCCACACACACACGCAGCTTAGAGGAAACACTGCTCCCCTCCCTCTGTGACTGTACCAGTTCCAAAACCTTCCTTTGGGTTTGCTGTCTGAAGTGGGTGGGGGTCTCAGCAGGGGAAAAACAGGACCCCAAGAGGGCTGACAAATCCGATGTTTGCATTCTGGCTAATGTCCCCAGAGACGGTTGATGTCAGGATGGCAAAGGCATGCTCCTACTCTGGGGAGGGGCTGGGTTACATGGTGTCTGAGGGGCTCTGCCAATCCTGTGTTTTTTGTGGGCTCCTAGTTCTTATCTGTGCCCAACAGCTATTACTGACCCAAGCCCCTGCACATCTCTGCTGGGGCAACTCAGTCTTGACCTGCCGCACCCAGCTACTAGCTCAGGGTCTCTCTTGAATGGAGTCTACTAATCACCCATTAGAGCCAATGACCCTATTTTCACCCTACCTCCCACCTGGGGCTGGAGTGAAAAATAAATCAGTAGCCTCATTGTTCTCCAGCAGGCCAGTATCTGAGGTTAAACATGGTGGCACAGAAAATATTCTGAGGAAATGGCTACTCGGGCTATGCCACAGACATAGTCCTTTGACTTATATGGGCACAGCCTAGAAGCCAGACCCAAGCAGTCATGTATAAATCCAACATGACCACCTTACACCCAACCCAGAGCCCTGTTTTCAGACTTTGGCTCTTTCTGTGGACCCTTTCTCTTCCACCCTCTGATGATATTCTTCTACCCCTCCAGGGGAAACTATTATCGCTCTGTGTGTGTTAAATGTACTAGCAAAACCCCTGCCTGTATACATACACATTCCAATTAAACCAAGCATGTGTAGTCTCACACGACATGCTGGGCAGCACCAACCCACCCAGCAGTTTTAGTGGGCAGGTAACAGGGGTCCCCTGGCAATTCTGTGGGCCACCAATTTCCTCACAGGGCTGAATCAGCTGCCTTGCTCTGCCTGCTCTAACTCCCCAGTCACATACAAGTACATGGGTGGGCAGGAAGTGTGACATCTAAGTCGACTAAGTACGATTTAGTAGGGCTATCTGAAACCTGGTGGGATTCTTCCCACGACTGGGCGGTACACATTGAGGGTTATAAGCTGTACAGAAAGGATAGAGTGGCAAAGAGAGGGGGAGGGGTGGCACTCTATGTCAATGAGCGATATACATCGACCCTCATCAAAACGGAATCGGAGGAGGAGAAAGTAGAAGGA